ATCTTTGTCTGCTGAAATTGATAATGTTAAAGATCTTTTGATAAAAGAACAAACTGTGCTTCAAACTTGGGTAGAATCTCACAAAAATGCTAATTATATTATTTCTGCTCAAATTCCACATTCATGTGTGAACATTCTTGGGGGTAATTATGCAGAAGCTGAAAAAGTTTTTAAATCACAAGAAAAAGAATCTGAATTTTATTCCATGAATGAGATGAAAAACAATTTCAAAAACAAGTTTGTCAGTAACTCTTTTATTAATTAGAGTCTAATTGATGAATATTGTGTTACTAACTCTAATGGTGTCACTGAGTGCAATGTTGAAATTACCGGAATTGATCCAACCTCTTACCCTGCACATCTTGTAAAACCAACTCCTCTCACTGAGAATATTATTGCCTTCCCTATCTCAAATGGAGTGTTTCACGCTGTTCATGAACAACTTAAGTATTTTCCTGATTGCAATGCATCTGTGATCAAGTCCAAATCAGACACTGATGATAGCTCATCATCTATCTCTGATCATAATTTGTCTGACACTGAATTCAGTTCTGATTCAATGATATACAAAAGGACACAAAGCTCACTTGGTGAATCTTACAAGTCTAAATATGTAAAGTCCAAAAATATGCTCACCAAGAAGAACTTTGGTACTAGAGTGTGTTACAGATGTGGTGATACCTCTCATAAGATCAGTGAATGTTCATTTGATAAATCATCTTTAAGAGCTGATAATATTAAAGTTAGAAATGAAAAATGGACTCTTAAGTCAAATTCTTTAAACTGTCTTCCTAAGGAGTGTTATAACCTATTATCAAATAACTTTGTGAATGACCCATCCTCGAATGGGTCAGTGTGTTCTAACTAGTTTCTCAGCACTGCAGGGTCAGGAGCATCTTTGGTACTTAGATAGTGGTTGTTCAAGACATATGACAGGATCCAAGTCTCTCCTGGAAGACTATGTTAAGAAAACTGGTCCTGTAGTAACTTACGGAGACAATGGAAAGGGGTTCACTAAAGGATATGGAAATATCAAGTGCAATAACGTGGTTTTTCAAAACGTTTCATATGTAAAGGGTCTCAATAACAATCTTATCTCCATCAGCCAATTGTGTGATGCTGTCTATGAAGTTCACTTTACAAAGAAGGAAGGAAGAGTTGTCAACACTGACAAGAACATCGTACTTTCAGCAAGTAGAAAAGATGATATATATGTTCTTGATATGTTCTCAAGTGACAAGGCGCTGATGCAATGCTTCTTTACAAAGTCTCAAACCAATCTCAGCTGGATTTGGCACAAAAGGTTCTCTCATCTAAGCTTTAAGAATCTATCCAAAATATCCAATCAAGATCTAGTTAGAGGTCTCCCAAAATTCAGCGTTGTAAAAGACAAGATGTGCTCAGCGTGTGAACAAGGAAAACAAACCAAGTCATCTTTCAAACCCAAGTCATGTTCCAGTATATCTGTTCCTCTGCACTTACTCCACATGGACTTGTTTGGACCTATTCCTGTCTGTTCTCTAGGTGGGAATAAGTATACTCTAGTGGTTGTGGATGAGTACACTCGATTTACATGGGTGGTTTTCCTGAAGAAGAAGAGTCATGCTGCACAGGAAATTATCTCACTGATTCGTAAAAATGAGACACTGACAGGTCTCAAGGTTAAGCAGCTTAGAAGTGATCATGGCACTGAGTTCCGGAATTCAACTCTTGAAGAAATTTGTGATCATAAAGGTATTGGGCAAAACTTCTCAGCTCCTCGCACTCCTCAACACAATGGAGTTGCTGAATGAAGAAATAGAACACTGATTGAGGCAGGAAGGACCTTAATGATTCATGCTGGTCTTCCTATGTTGTTTTGGGCTGAAGCAGTTAATACAGTGTGCTTTACTCAAAATCGATCTCTAATTCACAGGATTCACAAGAAGACACCATATGAAATGCTGAAAGGTCGAAAGCCAGACGTATCCTTCTTTCACGTATTCGGATGTATTTGTTATATTCTTAATCAACGTGACCCAAGATCAAAATTTGAACCAAAGGCTGAAAAAGGTATTTTTGTTGGGTACTCATCTATTTCAAAGGCTTTTCGTGTTTTTCATGTGAACAGGCAATGCATTGAAGAATCCATTCATGTGAAGTTTGATGAGGAATCATACACTGATGAAAAAGTCACTCATTCTTCCTCTATTTTTCAAGAGCTTCTTTCTTGCCCATATGATGAAGTTCCTCATGCTGAAGATGAAGCTACTATTTCTGGTTCTATCGTTCCAGTACCAAGTTCCTTGAATCCTGATACTGCAGCCAGATCATCAAATAATTCGTCAGGTGCTGATGAAACCCTTGAAGCTGAAGATTCTCCTGCAAATGATAACTCGTCAGTGTCAAATTCATTGGAATCAGCATCAGTTTCTGAACATCGATATCACCCTGTCGATCAAATTATTGGGAATATTCATGATGGTGTTCGAACCAGATCTCGTGTATCTAATAACTTTTGCATGTATGTTAATTTCGTTTCAATGATCTTACCTGATAAGATACACTCAGCTCTTCAAGATGCTGACTGGATTAAAGCCATGCAAGAAGAACTGAATGCGTTTGAAAGGCACAAGGTTTGGACTCTTGTTCCCAGACCATCAGGAAAGACCATCACCGGAACACGCTGGGTCTATCGCAACAAGGTTGATAAAGATGGAATCATTACTCGCAACAAGGCAAGGCTTGTCGCTCAAGGGTTTACTCAAATTGAATCCATCGACTACGGGGAAACCTTTGCTCCAGTTGCTCGCATTGAAGCAATCAGACTGTTTCTTGCATACGCATCCTACATGAATTTCATTGTTTGTCAGATGGATGTGAAAACAGCATTTCTTCATGGTGTATTAGAATAAGAAGTATTCCTCGATCAGCCCCCAGGTTTTGTTGACAAAGATCACCCGGATTATGTGTACCGACTAGACAAAGCTGTTTATGGACTGAAGCAAGCACCCAGGGCTTGGTATGAGATGCTGACATCGTATCTTCTTGAAAATGGATACAGATGAGGAGCAATCGACAATACTGTCTTCATCAAAAACAAAGGCCCAGACATGATTCTTGTTCAAATCTATGTAGATGACATCATTTTTGGTTCTCCAAATGAGAAACTGAGCAAGGAATTTGCAGAGATCATGTCTCAAAGATTCGAAATGAGCATGATGGGGAAGATGACCTTTTTCTTAGGTCTTGAATTTCAGCAACAAAGATCAGGTATTTCTATTTGCCAAAGTAAATATATTTCTGACCTGCTTGTTAAGTATTCTCTCAGTGACTGCAAACCAACCTCTACTCCAGTGTGCAAGACTGATAAGATGCACGCCGATCCAACTGGCACTGATGTCAATCACTCTCTGTATCAAGGAATGATTGGATCTCTTCTGTACCTCACGGCAAGTCGTCCTGATATCATGTTTGGAACCATTCTCTTTGCTCGATTCCAAGCCAATCTTAAGGAATCTCATCTCATGGTCGTCAAACGTATTTTTCGATACTTGAAGGGGACTCAGAACTTAGCACTATTGTATCCTTGCAACTCAACATTTGAACTTTTTGGATACACTGATTCAGACTATGCAGGATGCAACTTAGACAAAAAGAGTACGTCAGGTGGATGTCATTTCCTTGGAAATCGTCTCATCAGCTGGTCTAGCAAAAAGCAAACATCAGTAGCCATCTCGACTGCAGAAGTTGAGTATGTTGCAGCTGGGAGATGTTGTGCTCAGCTCTTATGGATTCAAAATCAGCTTCTAGACTATAGGATCAAGTTCTCAAAGACTCCCATATACTGTGATAACACCAGTGCCATTCAAATCACACAAAACCATGTTTAGCACTCAAAGACGAAGCATATCGAAATCAGACATCACTTCATCAGAGATAATGTTGGGAAGGGCAAGGTTGTTCTTGAACATGTCAAGACTTCAGAACAACTAGCTCATATCTTCACCAAGGCACTGGATTCTCAAACAAATGCTTACATTATTGGAGAACTTGGAATGATTACTTTGTAATTAATTTTACTGATTAATTTTGCTAATGTTTGGAATTGTCTTATAAGCTGATGTACATTTTGCTGCTGATGACATGCTGGTGATATTTGCATACTGAGTACTTGGTTTGATCTCCTATCTCTCTCTTCTTCTTCAAATCTTCTAAACTAAAGTTGAATGATTCACTGTATTAAACCATACACTGATAACAACTTGAAACTCTTTGCCAATGGTTAGATCAAAACACCAAGATCTATCACACGCAACTATCTCTTCTTACCAATCTCACACTAATTCCGTGATTTAGTGTGACAAAACACACGCTGATGAGAATCTAACAATCGTTGTCGATGGTTAGATCAAAACACCAAGATCTATCACACGCAACTATCTCTTCTTACCAATCTCACACTGATTCCGTGATTCAGTGTGACAAAACACACGCTGATGAGAATTTAACAATCTTTGCTGATGGTTAGACCAAAACACCAAGGTTTATCACACACAACAATCCTCTCTTTACCTTCTTTTCATTCAGTGTCTAATGATTCAGTAAGATAAACCACTCACTGATAAAGACACAACACTATGTGCCGATGGTTAGATAATATAACTAGTATCTATCACACGCACCAACCTCCTTGCTAGACTTAATCAAGCAAGTTGTACTTTGAATTGATGGAGAACCATCCTCAGCGTGTAACTTTTGTGACACTGATCTCAGCGCTTCCGCAGACATTGATTGTCGTTTCATCTTCAGTCCAACGGCTCTTTTTACCCAGCGGCTATTTTTCTGATTTGACAGGTTGTTACAATACGCAGTTATTTTTGGAGAAGATAATCATTGCCTTTTTAAAGGCCCGTTTAGTTCCATATTTAAACCTCTTTCCACCCCTATTTCAAACCTTCCTTCCACAATTTAAATTTCCTTCGCTTATATTCAAAACCCTAGAATCCTAAAACTCTTTAATGGCGGCATCTCTATTCACTTTCTCCTCTAGTTCACGAAGGGTAATCCCTGCCCCAAACTCTCCTCCTCTCCCATTATACATCAAAGCCACCAACGTTGTTTTCAACCCTGATATTCCAAATGTTCATCGAGGTCTTGGACTCGATGATTTCTTAGCCTCCTGCCGTCTCCGATACGCCATCAGTGACATTCCATCAGAATTCTTCCCTGAACAAGTCTGTGAGTTCTACTACACTGCAACAGTCAATGATGAAAATAATGTCATCACCGGGACTATTGGCCGTGGAAGACACTCAGTCTTTATTACCGCTGAACTCCTCAGTGTTGTACTCAGGTTGTCGATCTTTGAACCCTTCTCTGAACTTCCTTCTATTGAATGCTGTCAACGTCTATTCGATCAACTGGGATATGATCACTCAAAGGCTGGTGCTCGATCAGCTCTTATTCTACGTCAATGTATGACCCCAGGATGGAAATTCTTCATCGGTGCTCTGTGCAAATGTGTGGGTCATAAGTCTCGAAGTGGTGATCAACTGAGCACTTATGAGCAACAAGTCGTCTGCTCACTTCTTCTCAATAAAAGACTTGATTATGGGGCTTTATTCTTTGATCAACTTGTTCAACTTCTTCGTACGAATGTACCCGCTGATCACGTTCCCTTCCCATGCTGGATTGCTCTTGTGCTCGATAAATTTTTTGTTGCAGATTACTTCTCACACCCTGGAAATCCCATCCAATGCCCTCGCATGTCAATTCGAATGTATCAAGATGATCCGTTGGAAACTGACATCGGCATCTCTGATAGGATGAGAGAATGGATTGCAAATCAATACACTGTTCCTTCACTCACCGCTGATACTGATGAAGGAGCTGATGATAACCATGCAAATCATGTCGGTCAAGAGGCTGAACCACATGATGGTGGTCATTTCTCCCCTCAACTTTCTCAGCATACGGTCTCTGTCACTGAGAAAGATCACTCAGCTCAAGAGGAACCATTGATTCAGGGGGAGCAACCATTTCAGGGGGAGCACCCATCTCAGGGGGAGTATCCCTCCCAGGGGGAGAATCTACCCCAGGGGGACCAACCTTCTCAGGGGATGCAACCACACTCACAAGCAGCTCCAGGTACTTCATTCCTTCAAATTCTAGCCTCAGCATTTAATGAACTTCTGACACTGACTCGGGACATGAGTCAACGTCTTCTACGCATTGAGGCTGATGTTCATCAGCTAAAGGAAGTTCTCTTACATACTCCTTCCTCTCGCCCCCAAACTAATGATGCTCAAAAAGGGGGAGATACTGATACTGATGATAATACTGATGATAATCCAAAAGAGAGAGACAGTGAATATATTAACAACACTTTAGTTCAGACTAAGTCACCAAAGCTGATGCACGAGTCTAATAGTCCAGCAGATACTGAAAAGCTTGTTGAAGATAGTGAGCATGATGATGAATAAGATGATAGTGAGCATGATGATGAACAAGATGATGAATGTCAAATTCTTGATATGAACTTCATTGATCCCTTTATTCCAGTCCAAAAAGAAGATTCAGATGATCTGGATAATGAATCTCAAAGGCCAGACATGAAATTCATTGATCCCATTATTCTGGTCCAAGGAGAAGATTCAGACGTTGCTAGTGAAGATTCTCACCCGCTATCTCGCAAGCGCAAGGCAGCAGATACTGACTTGGCTCCTTCAAACACTGATACTTCTCTGTCCTGCAAGAAACCCAAGTCCATAGTCGGTATATCAAATTTGGCGGCTGAATGGAACATGTCACCTGATCAAGTTAAACAAATTCTTGATGAAGCCAATCAGGCTCAGCTTCTAAAGAATATTGCTCACGCTAATGAATCTCTCATTCAGCATTAACTTCAGGCCAAAGGATCTTTTGAAGCTCAAATGCAGAAATTCTTAGAATTTCAGTCCAAATCTCAATCTTCTCAGTCTCTTCCTAGCAGCAGTAAGCCTAAGACTGATAGTGTTCTAGACAGGATTGATCGAAAGAGGTTTGAAGATGTTCTTAGACGACGAGTGTGTAGTGATAAAATCATTAAAGTTAAAGCTTCCAAACCACGCAATGAGAAAATTCTTATGTTGCTGATCACTCGTCAAGGTCCACAATATCCATACACTAAAGTTGTCAAGGGGGATGAGCTGATCAAATATGGATATTCTGAATGGATGGAATTACTCGAATTAGCTTCCAAGCAAACCTCAGCTCTCTCCTCTGAACTGACATGTGCTCTTCATCTGCTGATCAAGAAAGTTCAGCGTTTGGACCTTGTTCCTAAAGAATGACAACAGCATCAAGGCCAAAGTTCATCTGTTCTTAGAATCCGAAGAACCAAATTTCATGTTGATAGTGAAGATGTGTTGGTTCTGAACTTTGGTGCTGGTGGAATAAACAACTCTCTTCCTATCGGTGTTGACCCGGTTCAACATAAATTTATCTCAGTTCCTGAACACGGGATGTTCTATCTCGACAAAAACAGAAAAATGTGTTTTCAGCGAACTGCTGAGATTCCAAGGGCTCCAACCACTCATCTCGTTGGCTTAAGGCAAATGTGTATGAGTCATCAAGATCTCTCCAGAGAGTTTCACATCCTTATTGCTATGGAGCTGCTGAATAGAAGACAAGAGTTGCTGGATAGTCCTTACTGGCCAATAAAGATAAAATATGAAGCTGGGTATGAGGAATTCTTGTCCAGAGGTGTTCTAATTTAGTTGGTTTTGAACATCATCATATTGGGGGAGATTGTAAGGTCAAACCTTGAAATATGATGATGTTTGAAATAAATCTTTCAGCATCAGCGCATGTCTCAGCATCAGCATCAACATTTCAATAAGCTCAGTGTATATAGATTTATTCAGTGCATTGTAACAGATTTTGTATTTATCTTGTTTCCATAGTTAGCGTAAATTAGTTAGTTGGCATATACCTGGTTTATAGGGATTGTCTAGAATAGTAGTATATAATCTTTTGTATCAGTTTGTAATAGGTTACGCCTTTCCCAAACCCTAATAGCCGCTTTGTGCATACGATAATCTCTTTGTGAGATTATCCTTCTTAGTGAAAGTTTTTCTTTGTGAATCCTTATTGTTCCTATTTACTGTCATTGTTTGATAAATTGATTGATCTCAGGTCTTTTCAAATTGCATGTGCCATTCATAAGCGTCTATATGGCTATTTCGATAGGTTGTTCCATTGTATATTTTTAGGTGTAGGCGTTTGGTTGTGGTCGCCATGTCGTATTCATGCAGTTCTGTTATGAATGATGATGTATGTTGGTCTATTGACGTGAAATGGTTGTTTCCATGATTTGGTGTAAAGTTGGGTTGTTAGAACGGAGGGAAGATGGTTTGATGCACATTGTTTAGCAGGGATTGAGTGAACATGGGAAGTGCTTGTGTATGGATATTATAAAAGTACATGTTGGGATGCGAGGAGGACGTATCAAATAGGAGTGGTGAGTTGAATGTTGGATACATGTTAGTGTCTATGTCGTTGAATGGTATTTCTATTTGTCGTGTGAGTGGTTTTGAGTAGATTGGTTGAAAGCTTGTCATCGGGGGCATTTGTGTGTGAAACTGTGTTCCCATCTGCAGCGACTATGGTGGCGACGTGTTGCCATAGAGTAGTGAAGTCGGTATTTGTGCTATGTTTGGAGTTATGTTCTTCTAGGTTGATTTTCGTTCGTTTACTGGGGTTAACGGTGGAAACGAGAACTGAGGGATTGGCATTCCCAACATTATGCGACACAGGGAGTGGAAGTTTAACTTGTTTCGTGGACGACTGGTTCAAGGGATGGCATCGGTCATATGGGGCTTTGCATTGTATTGTTGGTCTCTCCTTCTTCTTTGTTTCCCATTTTCGGTTTGTGTGCATTGAGCTTTTTATGTCGTTTTTCTCAACAACGGATGGTGTAAATGATGTGATGTTAGACCTCAGGTTAACGAGTAATGACTCGGCTAGGTAGACTTCTATGGAGATCTATAACCACAATAATATAAAAGGATACCGTCAACTGTTCTCTAGGAGGAGGTCCCCGGGAAAACGCTATGATAGTCAAGTCAATCTCCAGGGGAGATAAGTATATAAATGTAACGTAAGACGTAGAGTGTGGGTTTCGATCCCTTTACCATTGAAGGAATGTGGCCTTTTATAGTGAGGACCTGGGCATGGATCCCGCTCGTGGAAATAGGATCATTAGGCCGCGGTCGGGACATAGAAGCTGATTGGTAGATCGTACTTTTGTCCTGTATCTAAGCTGTGATTGGCTTAGCCATGGTAGTGGTCTGTGCACCTTCACTAAAGTTTGCAGGTGTCGATTGATCTTCTGCAGACTTTCCCGCGCGTGTTCTAGGCTGGCCATCGTACATCGGGGGGGGGGGGGGGGGGGGGTATTCTAATGTGACCTGGAAGTGGAATGAGGTGGCTAGGATAGCTTGTTGACTGGCTGTGCGACTAGCACCTTTGGTGTCTGGAAGGCATGTTATCATATATATATATATATATATATATATATATATATATATATATATATATATATATATATATATATATATATATATATTGTTGTTAAAAAAAACTATGAGTAGTATGTTTGTGTGTTTTGTGTATTGTGTTCTGTATTATATGTGTGTAGTGTGTGCCTGCAATGTGTGGTGTGTACTTGTGTATTATATATATATATATATATATATATATATATATATATATATATATATATATATATATATATATATATATATATATATATATATATATATATATTTGGTATTATTATTATTAGTTTGTGTGTGTTATTTAGAGCGATTTAGAATATAATGGTCCAATTTTGTCAGTCTTTGGTCTGAATCGATTCAATTTGGACTGAACTAAACTACAGTTTTTATTGACAAAAGTAAAAAAAAAATGATGTAACCGGGTTATCTCGTCATGGAATCGGAACCACCAATTTCGTGACTGGTTCCAAAAACTTAAGAACAGCTTAGACCGATTCCGGTTTAGGTATTAACTTTGTAGAAACCGACAGTTGCGATTCCGCTTCCAGTTTCGATTCTCGTCAAATGGAACGAGTATCAGCCTATGCTCATCCCTTAGAATAATCAATATTTTAGAGTGCATAACTCTAAGGTAAAAAAAAAAGTTAGTCAAAGACATAGTCAAGAATATGATATGGTTGATTTAAAATACTCAGACATATTTGTACTAAGTTGTAACTTCTAAACTTAATGAAATATCTTGATCGGTAAAACATACTTGTTTATATTACACCAACAAAAAAAATTATCTAAAACATACTCTCATAGGACCCATAGAGGGGGTTATGCTCCAAGAACTAAGAAGAAGAAAATAGACTAATTAGTAGTTAAAAATGAAAATTTTGGTCTAAAATTTGAGGTGTTACATAATTAGTAGTTAAAAATAAATTTGATATGTATAAATATATATAAACAGAGTGACTAAAACCGATAATGCAAAGTTCATCCTTATTTTGAGAGAAATGAATAGTATAACACCATATTTAGTGTAATACTATTCATATCCCCCAAAATGGGGGAACAAATGGGTAAGGGTTGAAGAAGAATGGAAGAAAAAATAAGGAAAAATTGGAAAATAGGAATTGGTTGGAGATACTATTAGACCCGTGTGTAATATACTATACATTACCACACTATGTTTTTATCACATCATCACCACATCATTTTCTTATCTCCCCATAAAACTCGCGGGTGTCATACCATACCTTAACACACTTTTACTTTTTTATTTTTTATTTTTAAATTTGCTAAATATAATTATATAAATTTAATAAAAAGAAAATACTTCCTTAATTTAATTAAAAATGATTACAAAACTAAAAAAACAACAATAAAATAAAACACTATATTATAAGACTAAGTGTAATATTTTTTCATGATTTCTCCACTAGCCCATAAAACCATATCAAACTCGTTTCCAGAAGGATGATTGATAGGTTTTGTCAAAAAAAAAAAAAAAAAAAAACTTATGACAAGTTTTCTGCTTTTTCCTCTCGATCTCTATGCTTATCCTCCCTAGCATTCTTTTTCTCCTCTAATTTTTCTTTTTTAAAATTCAAACAACTTTCAAATTCAAATTATAAATTTCAAAGTTACTAGATTATGACCTACGTTAAACGCGGAGAACATAAATTAAATATATATTACATTAATAGGTGGAAGAAGAAGGAGAACAGGAATAAGAACAAAGTAATATACAAGAAGTTGTAGAAGAAGAAGGAGTACAGAGTTAAGAAATAACCTAGAAAAAAGAATTATAGAATAAGTCCGTTGAAGAAGAACACTGTAAATCATACGATTCAATTTAAACTCGTAAGAACAACTTCAATGTAATCGTATATATAAGTTGTTTTTCAATAAGAAAATCATTATCTTCAAAAAAAAAATGGGATCCTAAAATATTA